GGGCTTGAACTAAAAGCAAACCAGCTGAGTGAGACTTGACATTAACAATTAATGACTTTTAGGTACTCATTATTTATTGCTGGCCATGTATATAAATATAATATAAGGAAATTTTAAATAAGTGTAGGTTATAGTAAGTGTAATTACTCTAACCCTGGGTTAAAATTTAGCCTGCTGTTTTAGTTTGTGTATTTCTACACGCCTGTTTATTTCAAAACTTCAAAGAAGAAAACTCCTATTGATCCAGACAAGATCTCTGAAGAAATATTTCCAAATTTATAGACAAGCTATCAGGAAGTTTGCTTTGAAGTTTAGGTTAACCTAGGGTTAAGCTAATCCACCCTTGAACAACTGGCCCCTGGAGAAAAATTGATTGTACAGTCTTAAATTTATCTATATGTGTAACCTATCATAATTATATATTTACTAATAAATACATTTACTATTCTGATCTAATATTTCTTCGTATTAAATTATTTATGGCTTCAAGTGAACATGACAGACCCTTACAAAAAAGTCCAATTGGATCCAATTGGAATTCCAATTGGAATTTGGAATTCCTATTGGAATTCCAATTGGATCCAATAGGAATGAAATTCCAATTGGAATTCCAATAGGAATTCCAATAGGCATTCCAATAGGAATTCCCATAGGAATGAAATTCCAATAGGAATTCATTCCCATAGGAATGAAATTCCAATAGGAATTTCACAATAGGAATTTCAATAGGAAATGAAATCCAATATAAATTCTAATTGGAATACCAATAAAAATTCAATACAAATATAACTAGTGATCCAAGGATAGTGCAAAGTTTCAAAGCTATGCCTATGTTACATGGTATATATAGATACATATATGATTGCTGTGCATGCATGTACTGTATGTCGACAAGACACTTCATAAAACTGCGGAAATGAATATAATATATATATATGTATAAAATCAATTTGAACACTATAGTTGAATGACCATTTAATCGCAGCACTTTGCGTGATTTGCATTCTTTATTTCCCCATTTAATATTTGTAATCAGGCTTATAAATTAACATTGAACTTTATATCAGTATTTGGACATGTATAACCATCGTATAAAATGCATGCATGAATTAGATTGAGTCCACAATGTTATTCGTAAGACAAGGATATCTGTCATAAGACATAATAAATATTGTCTGATCGTTCGGAAAGAATCAGTCCATTCTTTGGATTAATTTAGAAAGTGAAAGCTAGTAATAAATCGACATTTTTCAAATTTTCCCTTCTTTTCATTGACATTGGCGTTGATCTCATGCGGCTTAAATGATGCTTCAACTTAAAAGTTTTTCTCATCTTTTTCTCTGGAGTTCATTGTAAGTTGACTGTGGTTCTTTGGTAGTTTTCCTTTTGGTATTTCTTTGTTGACTTGTTGACAATATAGAGCTTGGATCCAGGTTAAACAGGGATATTTTCAAGCACTTCTCTACTACCGTTGTGTCACTGAAGACTATGAGAGGAGGAACACCATCATCTTCTCCAAGTTCCTCTTCAAGGACATCATCACCATCACCACTTATCACAATGGTTGGTGACTTTGATGAAGAGAGTCACAGCTCTGCTGATTTGGACAGCAACATGGTAAAGTTTATTTTAAATGTAATTTTGCTGTATTTAATTGTTTGATATGTCAGGGAATCGGCTCTTGACAACTGCAATTGGCTTCTAGTGACTGTTTATTAACTTATAATATTAAGTATATTAATCATTCATAAAAAAACAAATGACACATTTTATTATGAATTGTCATATTAGGTTACAATACATCCAGGAATTTCAATCCTGAAAGCCCAAAAGAAGATATTGGATACATGTGGTGAAGCGAAAAAGTTCACCCATTCAATCATGGAGATGTTGTGGTCAAGAGAAGTACTGGCAACACATTCAATGACTGGGCGATCTTCCAATGCACACAAAGACAAAAAGCCTAAGCCATGCCTGGATGCTGCGAAGATTGGTGCTTTGTGTGGTAAGTTTTTTAGCATGATTTTAGAATTCAACAAAGACCACAAAACAACCTGAAATGATTGGAAACAATCCAAGTGCCTTCCCCATGCCTAGTACCCAAATATGCTCATCGAAGAAAGTTTTACGGTATTAATCATTATCAAGATAAATCACATACTGGTAGTCCTGATTAGATGAAAAATAAGTTATGTGGAGAGGGGTTCTTAGTTCAAACATCAACAAAGTAAAAAGCATACTCTAGATTAAACATAGTTACTACTAATATCTAACTAATAATCCAGTCAGATATTTCTTCACGAAATATATGTATTCTTGGCATTTTTGATCACTTGCAATCTCTTTGTATGTTGACTTGATGTTATCAGTAATACCAGTACTGCTAATATGGCCAGATTATTTGTTAGATTATCCTACTGTAAACTAATCAGCAAAGGGTTTTAACAAATGTAGTGAGATTTAATATTTCTTTCATTTATCGAACTGAACTGACTATGTGCATGTAGTAAGGTGTATACTCAGAATGTTCAAATGCTTAATATAATGTTTTCATTATTCCGAGTCAACAAGAAAAAAAAACTCCCTCTCATTCAAGCCATTGCCAGGAAAGTTCAATACTCTCATGTGATACACTCTTGATCAATTAAATACTTGAAAATGTAAACTTTTACATACACTTGGTATATTAATAATCAAGATTAAATTACAGTCAGAAACATGAAATTCATTCAGTGTTTCCTGTGGCAAAAACAACAGGAATGTCATCCCTTTTTGAGGTGACTTAACTCTAAATCTGTACAATGACCATGTTGTTGTTACTTTTAATTCATGTGGAATTTCTCTACTTATTTATTTCAGCATTGGTGGCAAAGAAATTCAAGTTGGATGACCAAAAGGTAAAGAACCTGATCAAAACTAAACTACACAATGTAGAAAAGTGTTTTAAACTTAAAAAAATTGGGGAGTGACATTATATGCATGCATATTGAGTGAATATTGTACAATTATTTATATATATAACTAATATACTGTTTATTAGACTATAATAGACACTTCTAAACTTGCTTGACTCCACCACACTGGTATGTTTAGTGTGTACTCATGCAAGTTTGGAATTGTCTATGTGCAGATATTATTTTTTATAACATATACAATACTACACTAGATAGAGCATTCTTTAACTTATGGAAAGTGAAGCTTCAGGTTATCAGGTATTACTTTGGGGTTCAAAATTGGAGTGTTACAAATGAGAATTAAACAGCAAGATATGATTTCATGGCAATCAGGCAATAAATCAGTCATTAATTAATGCAATTATAACAGTTGTGAACATAACTTAAATAAGTTACAGTTCACAACACAATGTTTCAACACTCATGTCTAATGTCTTCATCATGGGTGATCTGAATGTTGAAACCTTAATTCCTTTTATGTGTGTTACATAAAAGGGAACTTGCTTCAACCTTCAGATCACCCCTGATGAAGACACTTCACAAGGCTGTCGAAACATTGGGTTGTGAAAGTGTGACTTCTTAAGTTACATTCATAATCATTATCAACCAGCTGAGTGGCATTAATATGACAGAATTAAACAATTTTAGGGATTACAATTTATTAGAATAACAAATGGTGTAAATTGTTTACCATGTTCATTCTTAAATTTTACTTCCTGCTTCTGGTTACCCAATCAGCTGAAATAGGTAACCAGAGGCTTCACTTTTCTCTTTTTCACAAAGCTCTACTAGTGTAAGTATTGTATACATATGTATACATGTATTTAGACTGGGCATCATATTGTGTGAATATTTGTTGCATAAATCGTTGTACATTTACTTTGTTTATACAAGTTTCCAAAATATTTTAATAAATATATATTTGTTGTTATAAATTGTATTAATGATTTACTGTACAGTTTGAATTATTCCTTTTATATTAATATTAATAATGTCTTATATTTCAGTCTGATCTTTTAGCAACTAGGCACCCAATCACATATAAGGTAGTCATGCAATCATTTTTCAGAATAAGTCCAACTGGATTCAATGTCTATAATTGAATTTCTAATTGGATTCAGTGGGAATTCTAATTAGATTCAATGGGAATTCCAATTGGATTCAATGGGAATTCTAATTGGATTCAATGGGAATTCCAATTGGATTCAATGCGAATTCCAATTGAATTCAATGGGAATTCTAATTGGATTTAATGGGAATTCTAATTGGATTTAATGGGAATTCTAATTGGATTCAATGGGAATTCTAATTGGATTCAATGGGACTTCCAACATTCAATGGGAATTCTAATTGGATTCAATGGGAATTCCAATTGGATTCAATGGGAATTCCAATTGGATTCAATGGGAATTCCAATTGGAGTAAATGGGAATTCTAATTGGATTCAATGGGAATTCCAATTGGATTCAGTGGGAATTCCAATTGGATTCAGTGGGAATTCCAATTGGATTCAATGGGAATTCCAATAGGAAATTGGGCCAATTTCCTATAGGATCCAATTGGAATTCCAATAGGAATTCCAATTGGAATTCTAATTGGAATTCCAATAGGAATTCCAATTGGATTTTTTTGTAAGGGGAGGTACAGTTGCAGCAACGTGATGTTGCAGAAGTAAGAGGAAATAGTTTTATGCAAGAGATAAATCTCACTTGGTGGCAGTTATGTGACATACCTGTTTGGTAGATAATATACAGATACTTTTATCTGCAGGGAAACTATACTGTCACATAACTGTGACAGATATGTTATTGGGCCAAATTCCTATATGTTGCAGATATGTGACAGATATCTGCCACATAACTGTGACAGATATCTGTCACATAACTGTGACAGATATCTGTCACATAACTGTGACAGACATGTTATGGGGCCAAATTCCTATATGTTGCAGATATGTGGCAGATACTTTCGAACATATATTTTGCAGATATTTTACAGAACTGTGACATATATCTGTCACATATCTGTCAGTTTGGTAAGGGTATATATTTTTAATTAAACATTTACAAATAACAATATTAGTCCCCTTGATTTTGCCTTGGCAGGCAAAACTGTTTATTCAAAAGATTTATGTTTCACTTTATTCCACCACACATAACAAAAACTCTGTTGAGCCACATCACAGAGTAAGGATATACAGAGGCGGAACTCGAGGTAAATCATATCCCCACTTTTTTAATGCGCATGCGCGACCCTCTGGCAAGTGTCATGCACATTTTTTATCAGGAAATAGATAGGGAAATGCAAAATTTTGGCAGTAAAACGGCGATTTTAAGCACAGTAACCGATCAATCTTCATTTTCTGCACGAATTTTGCAAATAAATGGCACACTGCGTCTTCTTAGCAAAAGCGAATTGAACGGAAACCATTTTTAACGGCGAAAATGAGAAAAGACACCCGAAGGAGTGAGAATTTCTGGCAATCTGAAGATTCGATTCTGTAGACCTGAACTCCAGCTGGAACTTGGCAACTTTATATGTGAGTTTTTTTTCTCTAGCTCATATATATCAAATTATCAATATATTTTTGTCAAGTGCAATGTTGTATCAAAGGGTTGTCGTTAATTTAAACATTGCATAAACAGCATTCAGATACGAAAATGAACATCAACATTCAACATATGGACTGATGGAGTCTGATGGACATGGAGCCACAGTACTCTAAAGTACTCGTATAGACTTTATTTAACTTATATGTTGACCCAATGGTGGAGGATTGGTCAAAGTATACTTTATAGTGATTCCCCTAGATTAGTGCATTGGTTATATATTGACAGTGCACTGACAACCTTTTTTTGGCTCTCAAAGATCAATTTCTCAGACATGCCAAGTCACTGTACATGTTTTAAAATAAAAATCTAATCTGTTTATTTTATTTTGCTTTTCTAGATTGCCAATCATTCCTGTTGAACTACATTATTCATTACAATGAATCAGATGCAGAATCTTACAACTATGTTAATTTGTTTGCCTGATTGGGGAAAACCTGAGACTATTTGATCTTATTGGAATGCCTACCAAGTTTACATAGCCTCAGGCAATGTTTATATAATTAATCTTGAGTAATAGAGATGCTGTACCCCCTGAGGGAGTGATCCTACTACCTGGATCATCCCACTATAGGCAAGACAAGTTCAAAACTTTCCATGCAAACACGGCCTGCATGGCAGTTGCTATAATAGGATATGAATATAATTTTGCCTTGCCAGGGTGGCTCGGATTTCCCTAGTACCCGGAGACCATATAAACAGGCCTTCAGATTACTGTAATAGTTTAATTGAGGTTCAAAAAGCAGCCCTACCCCCCCCCAATGCAACTAAAAGTGGTAGGCCTGCTTCCCAAATCCAGCCCCCCTTGGAAGATGTACTGTAAAGCTAGACAATTTTACTTGTTAAACCATTGAGTCGTGCCCTACTTTATTATTTTACTCTGTCCAACACCAAATGATCCAGTTAAATTAACCCATTGAGTTGCATTGTGCCCTGATGCACCCTACTTTATTATTTTACTCTTTTACTTGTCAAAGGGAGAGCACACTTTAACAGGGAAAGGATTAATTGGGAATACTTTCTCTTTTAATGGGAAACTCTTTATCAATAAAAGGAACAATGCAATTATTCATAGTATTTAACTTTTCATATAAAGCAAAGACTATAAGAGGAAACATGGATCATTTGGCTACTTTTTTTATTTAGTATTAATTTTCATGAAAGCATGTGGGGTCAACTATAAAGGAAACAGTTATTGCCTATTTTGGAATAAAAAATTACAATTTGCAATATTTATTGACATTGAACACATATTTATTTGGTTTCTGAATAATTTAAGTTCTTAAATGTATATAAATGTGAAATAAAATAAACAACATTTATTAAAATGAACTTTGTATTTTTAAACCACAATTACACTGTCGTATTTACATTTCACTGTAGTATTTACACTGTCAGTAGTAATTACACTGTGGTATTTACATTTCAAGACCCAACATCATTCCTTGCCTCAACCAAGATCCTC